GGAAGATGCAGCATGCCAGTGAACCCCTGGGTCTGGAGGTTTAGGGGTTTAGGGTTTGGGGTTTAGGGTTTAGGGTTTAGGGTCCGAGGCCTGACGAATGAGTTGTCGGAGCTTCGTACGCAGATCACCGACAGCATCTGGGATGGCATCAGAGCTAGAATGGTCTTGCTTCTAGTTAGCGGGATTAGCTTGTGTCATGCAGAATGTAGAGTTATATACATACTTTTAAAACAATACACTGTCAAATGCCGTGTACCTGTGTATTTATTGTAACATTAGTTCTAAGTCAGTCTTCCTGTCTACCTAGCTGTCTGTAATTATATGTTGTTTCTATCTTGTATGCTTGTCCATTGTGTATCATGTATTTTCTTTTCTCTATTTTGCATTACGTCTTTGAATGTCGTATGTTTCCCACCGTATATCACACATTCTTTGTGCTATATTCTTCTTCTTCTTCATTATATACTGTATGTTCACTTGTTATATGTTTATGTATGTGTATATATCTTACGCATCATTTCCCGCAGCCCCCAGTCAGGCAACGCCCATGCTGCCAGTGCGTGCGAACAGAGCATCCCTGCCCGCACGATGATTACATCCATGTTGCCAGTGCGTGCGAGTCGCCTGTGCATCCATGCCCGCATGTTACCAGTGCGTGCGAATGGCCAGGGCATGAACGTGATCATCTTACCAGCGGGTGGCCAGAGCATCCATGCCCGCACGATGAACATGTTCATGTTGCCAGTACGTGCGAATGGCCAGGTTGCGAGGACTTGTTACAAAGTGAGCAAAAACCCATCGTGCCAGCACCCCAAAATGAACCATCTTGACTCGGCTTCCGTCCCACAATAACCAACGTGAAATAGCGGTGCGACGGCAAATTTTGGGGGCTGCGCATATATATTAGTCTGTATTCGCTAATGTCTATTCTTTACTCTTCTGTTTCTGTTCTAGTCTAGTCTACTCGGATATCCCTTACAAGATATTGTATATAATCTAGAACCTACTACACATGACACATATTGCATGTTTACATGTAATCTTTTTCATACCACATATTTGACACAATATGCAACATTTCATATATGCACAGCCCCCCATGTTTGCCATCGCGCAGCTGTCTGTAAGAGTTTTCTGTGGGACGCAAGCCATGTCGAAAATTCCCGTCTTTGGGTCGCACTGGCACTATGGTGTTGTGCTGATTTTTCACAAAGTCCTAGTAAACTTCACCGTTACATTTGCCGTCACACATGTTTGGAACGTGACGGCATGACATCGGTTCAGGTGTCGAAAACACTGTAGTTGACGATTTTTCGAGGCCTTGGAGGACAAAATTTCTACGCCTTCCGGAAAGAACCGAGTTCAGAAAACGTCCGCGAAATCGGGACGGTTTTGGGTGGCTTAGTTTAGGCTTGAGGGTGTAGGGTCGCGAAATCATCGTGCGGGCATGGATGCATTGGCCACACGCGCATGGATGCCCTGGCCACGCGCACGGATTGGTAGCATAGACGCTGCGTGACGGCAAATACAGCATATTTTGTATAATTATTGTATGTATTGCATAGTGTGTACTATCTAATGTATCTTTGGCCTTTTTGTACGGTGCATTATATATAGCCCTTTACAAGTTTATTAGGTATGCAGTTTTGGAATAGGGGGCATTCTTTGTCACCTGTGTGTTAGAAGTGCGTGAAGAAGCGTACAGCTCCGAGGCCCAAAGCCCCAAGCCCCAAATCCCAAACCCTAAACCCCAAACCCTAAACCCTAAACCCTAAACCCTAAAACCCTAAACCCTAAACCCTAAATCCTAAACCCCCCAACCTCCTCAACGTGCCCGCCCTTGTGAGGCGAGGCGGGGAGCCGTGAGGACCAGCAGCGGTGTGAGGAGGACGGAGCCGAAACCCCACACCCTAAGCCCCAAACCCTAAACCCCAAATCCTAAACCCTAAGCCCCAAACCCTAAACCCCAAACACCAAGTCCTAACACACCCCCCACCCCCCGACCCCAAAAGACCCGCCAGAATGGGGGTTCCTTTTTGAAGGACGTTTCTCGGGGAGAAACCTTGTCGGATTGTGAGCCAACCCTACACCCTAAACCCTAAACCCTGAATACTAAACCCTAAACCCTAAACCTCAGGCCCAGGCGCGACTACGAGAGGGCTTCAAAAAGGCCGGCTACCGCCGCAACGAGGCTGGGTTTTAGAGGTTCGGTTTAGAGCTCTTCGGCTCCACTTCAACTAGGTTTAGGGTTTAGGGTTTAGGGTTTAGGGGTAGGGTTTAGGGTCATCTTTGGTGGGTGCACGAGATACCAGGCTCCGTGTTGCGACAGGGAACCAAGGGCCGCGTTCTTGCGCGTCGGGAGAGGCTCGAGGGCTTCTTGCAGCTGCATCCTTTCGTTGCCGTCGTGCTCGTCAGCGGAAGTATGGGAGAACGGGTGCATGTACTGAAGACGGAAGCACTTGAGCCCAAGCGTCTGTTGCAGTGTTGCAAGATCACAGAGCTATGGTCTCCTCAGGAGTTCATGGTTAGTTGTTGTGCATACAAGAAACCCAAGGAAAATCTCAACCAACAACTTGTGAGAGCAAGAAGAAGGGGTCGACAAAAAACAGATTCCGCCGCAGCAAAAGTCTCTCTACCCCCGGGTCCAAACGTGCTGCCATCGTGAAGAAGGCCGCTGCTCGGCTGCGTTTTTTTGCGACGGTGGGCCGTCTTTTGGAGACGTGGAGATTTCGATTTGCGGAGTGGCTGCAGGGAGGAGGAGTGTCAGGTCTATCGGTGCTGCAACATACTGTAAAATAGCCCTTCTCCTTGAGCATGTTGGCCCAAGGCGGATGGGCACTTCTACCTGGGCAGGCCGACAAAGCGTGTGTAACAGACAGTACACATTCCAAGGTAGGGGATCCAATGTCGGCTGCACCCGGTGTCTTTGGGAGGCCATTGCAAGACGCGGCCGCCGCGGAAGCTGCAGCTGGAAACGCAGAAGCCTTTGCTGCTGCCTTATCTGATCCTGCTTGAACAGCTGGGAACTCATAAAGAGATCCTCACAGTATAGCAGTAGGAGCCCTGAGCCCTAAACCCCCCAAACCCTAAACCCCACCCCCCCACCCCCCGCTGTTCAGATATGGGGGCTTCCCTCCTTCAGGCTAAAGCGCCGCACGGCGCACTTGTCGCACCGCAGCGAGGCAAAACCATGGCGAAGCACGGGATCCGTAACGGCTAGCTGCTCAAGATTCCCCCCAAAAACAGAAATGCGCTTCCTTAGATAGGGGAATATGGGGACTGTTGTTGTCATCTATGTTGCTGGGGGTTTCTTAGACATAGTAGGTAATGGTCACCTGAGTCCTCATTGCGCATTTTAAGAGGGTGCTACTTTTCGACTTATAGTTCATGCTTGTAGTCAGAAGTATTGAAGCTATAACTACACAGAAATGGAGGGTTGCTTACTGATGATTCTTGAGGATAGTTTACGTGTGACGTCCTTAGTAAATGTTAAAGGAGTAGGTTCGGAATAAGATATGTATGTCCCTAAAACTTAAACAAGTACGCAAAAATAAGCCTTAATCGAATAAAGGTGTTTCAGAAATCTAAACCTTAAAAGCGTAGGGTGTATGAGTTATTTACTCATGATTTTTGCGGATAGTTTACGTGTGAGTCTTATCCTTGAGAAATGAGTACTCTTTTGGAGACCCTTTGAGAAACATTGAGATGAAACCCACATACTTGCGAGTAAGTCGGGCTTTTGGGCAGGCGAAGAACCCAGAACATAGTGAAAGGATATTTGCTCACAGTATTCTCGCTTCCCTGGGCCGTAGACATAACTTATTTATTCGCATCACTTTATGCCCTCAAATACTTCCTAGTCTTTTGGTTTGAGGATTACGGCCCTTTCCTCTCCATGTTTTCTATTTGATATACAAAGCACACACCCTAGATACATTCACGATGTGGGCAGTAATTCTACATGTTCGTTGCACATGCAGGCATTACCTAATAATCTGCAAACGAATAAGGTTTGGCCCAACATCTTAGACGAACAAGGTTTTGGCATACAACCAAAAGCTTTCCTCACAAGAACACCCGATGGGGTACTTCGACAAGATGATCGCGACGCATATGCTGGGCGCACGCAACATTCGCAAAACATGCACCATGGAAAACGCAGGCCCCATGACAGGCCGCTCTCAACCCTAAATCCCAAACCCTAAACCCTAAACCCTAAACCCCAAACCCTAAACCCCAAACCCTAAACCCTAAACCCTAAACCCTAAACCCTAAACCCTAAACCCTAAACCCCAAACCCTAAACCCTAAACCCTAAACCCTAAACCCTAAACCCTAAACCCTGTGCCAGGACCGGATCCCTTTGAAGTCGGTCTTGCGACCTCCCAGGCAGACGGGAGCTCTTCGGGTTGAGGGGTTTGGGGTCTCTAAAGCGTAAGCCCTGAACCCGAAGCCCTAGCCCTAAACCCTAAACCCTAAACCCTAAGCCCTAAGCCCTAAACCCTCAACCCTAAACCCTAAACCCTAAACCCTAAACCCTAAACCCTAAACCCTAAACCCTAAACCCTAAACCCTAAACCCTAAACCCAAGACCCTAGACCCTAAACCCTAAACCCTAGACCCAAAAACTCAGTGATTCCTTGTGAGGCCGTTGCCGCAACGCATCGGCTTTTGGACCTACGCCGCTCCACTGCACTATGGGAGCAAAGGGCGGATGAGGTCGAGAGAAGCTCTGAACCAAACAGCCAAAAAACCCTAAACCCTAAACTCAAACCTTCAAAGCCCTAAGCCCTAAGCCCTAAGCCCTAAACCCTAAACCCTAAACCCTAAACCCTAATTCCTAAACCCTAAACCCTAAACCCTAAACCCTAAACCTTAAACCCTCTAAACCCTAAACCTCAAACCCTAAACCCTAAACCCTACACCTAAACCCCTAAACCCCTAAACCCTAAACCCTACCCCCAAGCCTGCTCCAAAACACAGGTGCGCCGCAAACTGGCA